AGAGTTTTCATTCATCTCAAACTGCTGTTCTTGGATCTCGCCCCCTTCTACAAAGGAAACTTCTTGACTTTGCATCTCCAGTGGCATTTCCTGCATAGACATTTCCAATATCTGAGTCTCCCCTCCGGTGTTATCCAGTGGTATTTCTTGAATTGTCATCTCATTCATCTGAAATTGCTGTTCTTGAATCTCACCCCCTTCTACAAGGGAAACTTCTAGACTTTGCATCTCCAAAGGCATTTCTTGCATGGACATTTCCAATATCTGGGTTTCTCCTCCAGCCATATCCAGTGATATTTCTTGTATCGTCATTTCGCTCATCCCAGTTTGGTACTCACTATCCACAAGTATTGTTTCTTGACTTTGCATTTCTAAAGGCATTTCCTGTATTGACATTTCCAGTATCTGGGTCTCTCCCCCAGCCATATCCAGTGGAATCTCTTGTATCGTCATTTCACTCATTCCAATTTGGTACTCACCGTCCACTGCTGGCATTTCTTGTATGGTCATCGTACTCATCTCTAGTTGCTGATCGCTCCCTCCTTCCATAAATGCTATTTCGTGACTTTGTAGAACCATTCCCTTTCCCTGCATTGAGAATTCTTGAGTTTGTATTTCTCCTCCATTCATCTCCGATGTCATTCCTTGTATTGTCATCCCACTCATCTCAAGTTGCTGTTCCTGGGTTTCGCCTCCTTCAAATGCAATCTCTTGATTTTGTATCTCCAGACTTTGCATTTCCAGGGGAATTTGTTGCATAGACATTTCTTGCATAGTCATTCCTTCCATAGCCTTTTCTCCTTCCATCGTCATTCCTTCGATACCCACTCCTTGCATAGACATTCCTTCTATAGCCATTCCATCCATAGTCACTGACATATCTTGCAAAGACATTCCTTGCACGTACATCTCCTGCATCTGTATTTGTTGTTCATTGATTCCTGGTGACATTTCTTGCATCATTCCGCCTTGTCCCCTGGACATTCCTTCAACTTTAATCATTTGGCTACTGCTATCAAATGCAATCTCTTGGGATTGTATTATTGAACCATTCATCCCTTCTGCTGTCATTTCTATTACTTGCGTTGGACTGTATAATATCTCTGTTCCTTGTATAACGCTCCCCTCTACCTGCAAATTTTGACCGCCATATTCTCCCGTCGATGACATTGACATTTGCATTTGCCCCGAATTATTTCCCACCATTACTTGTTGTCCGTCTATTACTTGATGCTGAACCCCATTTTGAATGTCGAACAGCTGTCCATCGAGTACCTGTGACTGCATTATGACTGTCATTCCTTCACCGTTCATTGAGTCCAACTGTTGCTCGCTCATCATCTGAAATTGCATTTGAGAATCCACATTTACACCTATCATCTCAGACGTCATCTCGAGGCATCCACCGTTTTGAATCTCAATCTGGCCTCCTACCATTTGACTTTCCATTTCAAACACTTCTTGAGATGCCATTGTAACGGGTCCTTCTTTTGCTGAGCTCGCTGTCTCCGTGCATGCTTTTTCATGCAAATTTTGTTCGGAAGGGTTGTTTTCGGTTTGCATCACCTGTAAGGTTTTGTCTACCATCTTCGTCTGTTGTTTTTAAAACATATCTACCACAAGAAAAAGATTCACAGCAGTTGGGATGGATTTTGCTTTGTTTAGATCTTCACCTGGGCGTTTACCCTACCGTCGATTCACCTACTCGCACCATTTTGGATTGTAATAAATCATAAAAAGGTTGAAAGAGAGTCAACGTCGGCGACCTTTTCTAGGGTGAAGTGTTAAATTTCTTTAATGCCTTGGGGAGATTAACATGCCATCAGCTTAATGCTGATATGTTGCTGCGTAAGCTAACTGAAATATCGACTGTTTCTGTCTTTATTCCGATGGTTATGAATGCTTGCGGGTGCCTTAAGATTTTAAGTCAACTTTGCAGGTTCTGGATAAACAAAGATCAATGGGAAAATCATCTAAAAGAATCCACCTTTAATGAGAGATTTTGGGCAATTGGAATTTCATGTCCGGTCTATATTTTATCGCAAAATTCAAAAGTTACTTTAAGAGAATTGCAGTGCATCTCTACTGGATCTCACGGCTTGCTTTAAACCGTTTTTTTTTTCAACATTTGCTACTATTTGTAATTGAAAAGCTACTGGTTCAAAGTTGACATTTGTCGTGTTTTAATAGCCCAAATATTTGTCAATAGAAGGTTCTCCCTTAATTCTGTGGTAGATTGGTAAATTATTCATTAGCGTCACTAATTACCCTATCAAAAAAAGAAGGTAAGTACAAAACCACAATGCTACCTGGAAATCTTTGTTCATTTAACACAAAGCAAAACTTGGGCTTTTTTTAAGTTTCGAGTTAAACTTTCTTCATCTTGACAATTACTCGACATTTTTTTCCTTTCCTTTTAATGAGAAAAAACCACCATGTCACCTGCAAATTTTTGCATACAAATAATTTTGCTGGTGCGAAACACCGTCTAACTGTGACTATTGCGTTCGTGCTCAATTTTGTTCCCGCATTTTAATTGAAAGTGCAGCAGGTCGAGTGATTTTCAAGAATAATATAAAAAAATAACTCAGAAGTGGACTGACAAAACAATTATTGAACTCTGTTAGTGGCGTTATTTTGCAATATTGCGAGATCACGAAATTTTGATCAACTCAATCAATGATTGTCACTTCTTTGGAGACAAAAAAGACGCGTCTCGCACTCCTTTTTCCCTTTTCTCTTCTAGGTTATAATGGGAGTTTATTGCAGGCTGTGTATCCTTTGATTAATCAGCATGGCTCTCGTCTTAATTCACTTCTTCCCTGTAGATTGATATCCACAGATGAGCATCTATTAATTTTATTTGAAAAAAAGAAAAAAAGCCTTCAAGAGTGCTTCAAAATTTACAAATCACTTTCCAAGTTCTTATCACGTACGATTTTGGCCATGTCGTGGAATGATTATCACTTTGGGAACATGTGGAAAGTTTTGTCCTCTGTTTATTGTTTACCTCCAAAGGAACCAAAAAGTTGTACCTTAGGGCGCAAAATTTTGATAAGTCCCGTCGAGATGTTTTCAACTGTATCACAATAATCTTATTTCGTTTGCTTTAAAACAGTTCATTTGACAGCCTATTATAATTCTAGCAATTTAATAAAACTACTAAAACCGCTTCACTATTTACACCTGGTCCTCTATTTCTTCACACCAATGTATGTCATACATTATACAATTCTGACTTGAACCAGTGTATTTAAAGATTTGATTAATACAAGACTGCTAGTTATAGGATGCTCTTGAAAATTTTCTTTTTAAATGTTATCGTGAAAAAGGCTGCTTAGAAATTGTCATCTGTTTACCGAAAACAAATTCTAGCAAAAGTTTTCATTCAAATAATGTTATACACATTTTTGATGAAATGGTTTAGGTTGCGTTCTTAGTTCCTTTTTAATTTCAATCCTGAAATAATATCTTAGAGGTAAACACTAATGAAAGCACCATAAACAACTATGCCTAGTTACAATTTTAGTCCCTTACACTACAAAATTCTATCTACCGCCTCCCGGTTAGCTCAATGGGTAGAACGCTGGACTGTTGTGCGGGAGGTCGAGGGTTCGAGCCCCGGCCGGACCAACAGTCAAGGTCTTAAAATAATTGAGAAGAATATGCTGCCTTTCCATAACATCAAGAAATGGTTTAGATATTCTATTCTTCTCGGATAGGGACGAATAAATGGAGGTCCCGTCTCCGTAGGGTTAGGGGTAGGAGACGTTAATTTCCCACGCACGAGATTACTGTGTGATGGATGTTCTCTCCTGGGGTGGGATGGGTGGGTTGTTGTCTTGCGTTTCATACATGAGCCTCTGGCTCGGGCAATATGGGTAACCATGCCCCACGTAAAGACATTAAACTTTGATTACTATTACTATTATTACTGCATAAACTGCAAAATATTACTGTTTTCAGGTTTCACTTTAACAACACGATCTATTTTGCTTAAAATTTACATTTAGTAATTTTAAAAGCATGTTTCCACACTTTCATTCTGCAATAAATAATTGCACACAGGTAAAAATTTGAGCGAAACAAACGATCTTCTTTAAAGTAGATAGCAAAGATTTTAGTCAGTTAATTTTCGCTAAATGAAAGCTCAATCTGAATATTTGGTAAAATAAAAATCTAAAATTTAGCTCCGATATCAATGAAATTACGAGCTCGTGATCAATATTATAACGCAATCTGAAGCTATGATTATTAAATATCCTGATGAATTTAAATCCGGAAGTGTGCTCTTCGTCAATAAGTAAAATATCGATCCTATTTCGAGTTAGACTACAACATTCTGATCAAGTTCGAAGAGCCCAGCTTCTTCGCAGAGTTCAGACAGGACTTCCTCGTAAAAGTGTTTTTGTTCCAACAATTCTCTGACTTGAGAATCTCTGTGGCGTAGTTCTTGCAGCACCGTTTCATTAGGATCACCAGCGGTGTAACCCAAGCTCCTTGTTTCTACTTCGTCTGAGAAGGTAACCTGGAAGAGGAGAGCAACATCGACAATGGTAACATTGTTCCTTACCGCCTCACCCCTGCCATTCCGTCGAAAAAACGTGAGACCATTATATTTGTGTCGATAAAAAAGTTTAATTACGGTAAATGACGAGTTGTAAACGCGTAGTTTTTGTTTGGGATGGCAATGAGATTTTGAATTTAAACAGTGAATGACGGGAGACGTAATTTTCCTAAGCAAAGGATATCCTTTGGACATCACTGTGATGTTAAAACAGTTATCCACCGAAGTTTAGGTGACTAGGGGTAATAGTGATTCACAAAATATGTTTGCTCGCGCGCGATTGGTCAAGGCGCATCCCGTGACCGAATATTTCCAAACTAAAACTGGGGAAATCCGAGGATATACCTCAAATGATATTCTCCAATTTTCAGATCTTACGTCCAATATGGAAAAATCTGCGCTCAGAAATTTCATGGAAGATGAGAACAGTTGTGTGGTTGTTACAGAAGGGGGATTTTTTGTTGTTGTTGTTCTTTAAATCGTATTAGAGAACACCGAAAAGCGAACATCCCACACCGTAAACGGTAGGCTGTTTGAAAAAATTTTCTCGCGCGTTGTAAATATTTGAAGGATACTTAACACAATTGCCCTATTTTGCGCGGAAAAATGCTCGTATATCTTTCCTGTTCCTCGAAACTAATAGTTTTCAAACCAGCCAATCAGCGTGCGAAAAGCCCTCTTCATTTGAGTGATATATACTAATCCAAAATATCAGCCACGATCTATGCTCGCCATTGATCATCAAATATGTATGATGTGACTGCGATCCCAAACTTTAATGAACACGATGAAGTGCTTCAAAACGCTCTCTCTTTTGATGCCGTTTTCGTATGTATCGTCTGACTAACCTTTTTAGGCATTCTTTCTTGAATTCTCTTCATTTTTTCAACCTGTAAAGAAAGTCGTTTTCTATTACTGTGATAAATCTGAAAATATATAAGTATATTCCACTATCATTGTAAGGTAGTAACAGAATAAACTAACGACGATGTCATAGCTTTTTATGATAAAATACTAAATCTACTTGACCAAATCTTCATTAAAAGAGGCTTAAAATACGATGAGTAAGATATCTTTAAGATAGTGTGGCCTTGGTTACTTCACAGCAAATATTGAAGTACCTTGTTATTCTTGGCACAATGAAGGCCTGGATTGCAAGCAATCTCGCTTTCAGTTTGGCAATACACTAATGTGCTATTTATTTTTCTAGGGTTTCATACCTTCGTCCTTTCTGAACACATGATTTCTTGAAAGTTGGACTCCAAGGTCTGAAGTTGGCTGGTCAATTGCCTCATTTCTTGCTCCAGTCGTTGATTGTCGTCTCTAAGAGCCAAGTTTTCCGATCTCAGCCTTCTAGGAGAGTCTTGTGGGCTGTAAGGGGATTCCTGGAGTAAAAAAGATAAAAGGTAAGGCGAGCGCTACGGACAAAAAAAAATTCCCTAGATTTGTTTTAAACAGTCAAGCGTTACTTAATGAAAATTCGTGTGAAGTTTTTAACCAAAAGAGCTTGTCAGAAGTTTTTCACCATTAAATTCTAGCTTGGACTACTAAATTCATCTTGCACTACGCTTGAATTGAGTTCTTTAATTCGATTTCAAGCGGTTGGTCCTTTAGTAAATAATTTTCGTCATGATACTCACGGTAAAGATGGGACTTATTGCCCTATTGACTTTTTCTGCCCGCTTTGTCATCTGTCGTTGTAATCTTGCCTCAAGCTTGTTCTTTAGCTCTTCCTTTTCCTTTAAGAACTGATTTTCCATTCTTTCCTTTTCGAGTTCAAACTCTTCTTCTAAGTTGCTTCGATCTCGCCTTAGCTGGTTCCTCAGCTCCCAGCGTTGCCTCTTCAGTTCATCGATTTCTAACTGTTGTTCACTAATTGTCTCTTCAAGGGACTTTTTCTCTCGAGCTATTTTTTGCGCAAATTCCTCCTCCATTTTAGACAGTATCTCCATTTTGTAATTAGCGATACTCTTCTCAACTAAGTTCCTATCTACAAGGGAGGGATCTTGGTTGTATATCTTGTCTTGAATTAGTCTTCGCTTTTCTTGCAGATTTCCAATCTCTCGTCGTAGGCCCTGCAGTGTTTCCTCAAACTTCAGTTTTTGCTCTTTCAGTTTCTTATCATATTCCTCCTCTAAGGTTTTTTTCACGGATCTAAGTTCCTTTGCATAAACCTCGTCCTCTTGGCCACTCCGACCACCCTTGTCATCCTCATAGACTCTAGCCTGGTCACTATCGATGGCATATCCTTTCAGACGATCTTCTAGTTCTTTTCTCCTATGTTCGGCTTTTTCCAACTGCTCTTTTAAATCCTCAAAATTTTTCTCAAGCTTCTGCGTCTCGTTTGCTAACTTGATGTCAAATTCTTCCTCAAGTTTGCTCAATAAGTCTCTTTTGTATAGTTCCCAGTCCTCTTTAAGCTTTATCCTATCCCGTTCGTAAATCTCTTCCATAGTTTCTTTCTCTTTTTTGTGTATCATCCTAATTTCTTTTCTTTGGTGCTTCAATTTCACGACCTCTTTAAGAAGGTTTTGAATAGTGGATTCAAGAACTTTCTTTTCTTCCTCGTGCATCTTCTTTAGTGCTTCTTTTTCGCTATGGTTTTTTTCTAGCAGTTTATTTTTATCTTCCTGGAATCTTTCCTCTGCTTTCCGTATATCATTCTCGACGTTTTCTATTTCTTTAGAGTGTTCCTGTAAGATTTTAGAAAGGATTTCTTGGAAGTCGGTTTCTGCTGCAATGTTTTTATCAAGTAACTGTTCGTATATCCTTCTCTCAACAGACGCCTTAACTTCCTTTTTCTCTTTTGAAAACTTTCGATTTATTTCCATTGTCATTTCTTCGATTCTCTGTTTGTGTTGCTCGTCATTTTCAGCTAGCTTTCTCTTCAATTCATCATCAAACGTTTTTTGTAGCCTTTCTTTTTCCGCTTTGAATATTTCTTGCAGTTCGTCTTTCTCTGTCTTCCATTGTTCGTCAAGATTTTTTAACTCTATTGATGGACTTCTTTCTTCGTCTTCACCTTCTTGTTTCAATGTTTGCGTTAACAACCTATTCTCCCCGTGATTGATGTCTTTTAAGGTTTCACTTTCACCATTTTCGTTTGGAACATCAATTTCTGCGGAGAACCTTTCACTTGATTCTCTCAGTTCCTCTTGAAGGCTGTTAATGGTTCCTTTAAGATCGTCATTCATAGCAAACAGTTCTTGAAGCTGGGACTCGAGCTCACGTTTCGAAGCCACCAACTCTTCCATCATCTCTGATTTCTCTTTTTCACATTCTTCCAGTACTTTATTTTTCTCTTCATCATGAGTGACAATTACCTCGCTTAATGCTTCTTTTAATTCCTTGACTTCTTTTTTTAGACGTTTGTTTTCTGTGTCGAGTTCTCCGATCTTTTTCCTTAAATTGATCATATCTTCTAAAAGTTTTCCGTTTTGGTTGTCATCATTCTTTTGTTTTAAGAGAAGTTCCTTTTCTCTCATCAAGCTGTTAAGCTCATCAAGCAAATCCCTTTTGCTTTCTTCTATGGACAATCTTCTCTTTCTTTCGTTTGTTAAGTCTTCTTGAAGTTGTTTGTTGTCCTGCTTCAACTCGATTTCTTCCATTATCCTTTTCCGTGTCTCCTCTGGCGTTTCACCGTCGTCATCGTCTACATTCTTCATCTTCAGGTCAACAATGTCTTGAAGCAAATCCTGAATATCTTTTTCGTATTTCTGTTTTAAATTCGTCTCTTCCTCAAGCGCTTTCTCTAACTTCTTTACTCTATCTCGCAAACTATCTAAATCTTCATTCTCATTTTCGATTTCTGTTGCTGCTTTTGTTTCTGCTAAATACTTCTCAGACCAGATTGAATTTGGAACTTCACTTTGATCGTTTTTATTTTCCTCTGGTAAATCATCACTAAACAATTCTTCCATATACTCGAGATTGAAATGTTCCTCATGCCTTGATACCTCCACGCTTAGGATTTCCTCGTTTATGACTTCTTGAACTTGAAGTGGTAGTGGAGATTCTTGGTTGGGTATCGTGATTTTCGGTTCCTTTGGAAAAAGGTTCTTCAGCGCACTGATATCCATATCACATAAATCTGCCTTTTCACGATCGTCCGTGTCCTTCAGTTTATCACTAAAGCTCGTTCTCTCTTCACTCGGTACCAAGTTTGCCTCACCAGGATTGGGAGCAAAGTAATGGTTTACATCGTCTTGGTCACTAATTTCACAGTCTTCTTCTAAGATTTGACTGCTTGGCATAGTTAAATCAGTACTTCCGCTTTCGTCAGTGGGCGCCGAGTTGGCACCTGTTGAATTTTCACAAACAATGTGACTTGCGATCACAGGCCCACTGAAATCAGTCATTTTTACCTGACGTGGTTTTTTCAATTGCATTTCATAGCTTTCCAACACCTGGGCTAATGTTACTCTCTCTGTGACAACGTCATTAAAAGCATCAAGCTCCCTAACGGAAGCAAAAGTGACAGCGGCGTTCATATCGTTACTGTCGTCTTCTTGTGACCTCATAAGTTCCTCCGCAAGTTCTGCACCTACCCTCTTGGATAGCCGTCTCAGTTTGAAGCGTAAAGCTTCGTTCTCGCTAACGAGTGTTTTAACTTGGTGCTGATCGCCTGATTTAATTTCCTCGCCTTCTCTGCTATTTTCCAGGGTGAGCATTTCCTCAGCTTCTTGGTATTGAGATTTTGGGTTTCTTTCATCTTCTGAAATGGAAATTACTGGCTCCTTCTCGTCAACATGAACTATCTGAGCTAATTTTACATCCTCGGTCAGAGCCTTTCTGAAAACCAAAGGACCAACGCCAACATTCCCTTTTTCTCTTAGTCGGTCTTCGTAGTTTTGCAAAACACGAGCCAATGTAATTTGATTTTCCTCGACAGTTCTCAACGCTTGCAAGTCATTAATAGGTTCCAAGGGAACGTTATTTACTCTATCGGGTAAGTTCAGCAACTCTTCAACCAATTCCACTCCTACCGTAAGAGTTAGTTTTTGCAGCCTTTTGTTGGATTCCAGGTTCTCACTGCTAAGCTTTTGAATTTTCTCTTCATATTCTGAAAAACATGCAAGATCTGAACGATCAGCCAAACTTTCCTTCTCTGTCAATGCATGAAGGGCCCCGTTTTCCCTTTTAAGCTTGTTCAGCTCTCTTTCATAGCCGAGAATAACCTCTCCCAAGGTCTTCTCTTCCTCCGCCATCAATGCCAAGGCTTCAAAAGGAGGCTTCACGTCCGTTCGGGAACTCTCGGGTAGATTGTCCATCAAAATCTCATTTAAAAGATCGCTGCCGATTTTATCGTAGAGCTTTGTAAACGTAGCCTCTTTTTTGGCAAGCTCGTCGTTTTCATTGCGCTTTTCTACGATTTCCATCTCGTATTCGTCTAAAATATCTGCGAGCGACTTTTCTTCATCTTCCATTCGTTGGACTAAATTATGGTAACCACGGTGGCTTTCCGTTGTTGGTGTTTTATTCGATGTGTTCAATATTTCATTCACAAGCTCTCTTCCAACTTTATCAGATAATACGTCAAGCTCCTTGGCAATGATCTTTCTTACGTTCTTGAGTTCATCTATTTCACTTTCTTGGGATGTCGCTATCGATAGTATATCACCGGACACTAATTCCTTTAGTGTTAATATTTCGTGATCTTTCTTCTCTAATTCGTTCTCGTAGTCTTTCAAGATATCTTCAAGGGTTGTATCGCTTTTCCTCTCCATGACCTCCACTGCCCTGAGAACGATCCCTTCTGTTTTATTTTCTCCCAGTGTTTTAAGCTGTTGTGCCAAGTCCATTCCTATTTTCTTCTCCAACAGAGTTTGCTCTCGAACTTTGTTTTTCAAGTTTGAAATCTCATCTTCATATTCTGATACCTTATCCCAAAGTGATGACTTTTCCGGATCCTCAGAAACAAGATGATGCATGGCAGCAATTTCTCTCTTCATGCTCTGTAAACTGTTTTCATATTGTTTTGTTACCTCAGCAAGGGTTTTCTGTTCGTTTTTCATTATTTTTAGAGCATTTAGAGGCAAAGTCTCCTCTGCGTCACTAGGGCTTAAGATTTTGTCCGCCACATCTCGTCCTACCCCATCAGCTAACATACCAAAGTTTGTTTCAATATCCTGTTTTTCTTTGACGAGTTCTTGAATCTTCATTTCGTAATTTGTGACAAGATTTGTTATCGAGTCACCATTTTCAACACCTCTTTCTGTGTTGGCGATCGTTTTAAGAGTCTCATTCTCTCTTGACAATTTTCCAATCTCATTTTCGTATTCCTGCAAAATGACTGAAAGTTGCTTTTCTTCATCTTCCATTATCTTGAGCGCTTTTGTTGACGACTTTAACCTCGTTTTCTCCTTAAAACTCAATCTGAGAACGTCGTTCACCAAATTATCTCCCATTCTTGCTATCAATGTGGACATTTTACTTTCCATTTCAATATTCTGGCTCTTTAGATGTTCAATTTCATCTTCGTATTGTGAAATTACGTCGAGAACAGATTGACCATTATTTTCATCGTCTTTGACTAATGCCTCAATCGCATTCTTTTCTATGGTTAATCTCTCCAGTTCCAGTTCATAGGTTTCTAAAATATCTGCAAGGGTTGTGTTTTCCTCCTTTAATCTTGTGACTGCTCTCCACTTTTGTTTCATTCCTACCTCGGTCTCTGTTTGAGGAAGCAACAATTCGTTTGTGAGCTCTGATCCAACTTTTCCTCTCAAGATTTTCAGTTGTTCAGCGCTTGAAAATGCACCATCATCAGATTTAATAGTTAACATTGTCTCGTACGACTCCAAAACATCTTTTAAGGTAGTTTCCTTTTCTTGCATGATTTTCATAGCTTTGTACTTTGGTGTTTTGTTTGATCTGTGTCCTCTCTCAGTGGCGTTTGTACCACCCTTTGCTGTATTTCTTTTCATCGACATGACGTCCTCCGCAAGTTCCGGACCAATCCTTTCTTTAAGAAAGTCTAATTCGTCCTTCAGGCTTTCACTTTGGGTTTTCAATTCTTCAATTTTTTCTTCATATTCATTGACTATTCCCGTAATCGTGCATGTTTTTCCCTCTTTTCCTGGATCAGCTTTTCGTAACGCTTCTAGTTCTCTTTCATATTTTCTCAGGATGTTCTCTAAGGATTTGCCTTCTTTCTGCATTATAAAAGGAGCTTTTAGATCGTCTTTCCCCTTCTCCATCTCCAACGCTGGATTTTCCAGGTCTCTCGCCGATTTATCTGATTGGTCGGGAACAAGTGACTTCAGAACTCCTTGCTCCTTCTCGTAATTTTTTGAGATGTCTTCTATTGTTTGTCCTCCCTCTATGATGACAATTTCAGCTGTCGTTTCCACTGGCGATGAAAGATTACTTCGAGGCCTGCTTGGATATTTTGAGGTCTTGGAAAATCTGCTCTCGTCTAAACAGGGGTCTCTTATCTCCACAGTTTCTCCATCTTCAGATTCATTTTTGTGAGCACCACTGTAATCGTCCTTTGCGATAGCTAATAGTCGTTCTGACAGAGTTGGACCAATGCTATTTTTGAGAAGTTCGTTTTCTTTCTGTAATTCCTCGACAGGGTTGTTGTATTCAGCTATGACATTCCCTGTGTTTAATTCATCGGAGAATGGTGAAGCATCACTCAACAGAACTCCGAGTGCATTCTCGTAGGTTTCTAAAACATCTTCCAAAGTTGACTTCTTTACATCCATGATCTTGGTTACTTTTAGATCTTTGTCCTGTTTTTCGAACCTGAATTCCGAGCTGTTATCTGGCTGCATGGCACCATCGCTTTCCTCACTACTACTGATTTCGTTCAGTTTTTTTATATCTCCAACAAGTTTGGGGCCAATCCGTTGCACCAGTCTGTCTGAATCAAGTCTCTTCCTCTCGCTCTCTGCCCTTAGCTGGTCAACCTTATCTTCGTAGGATTTAACGATGTCGGTTATAGAACTAACTTCGTCTCCGTCTTTTGGTACTAGACTCCTAAGGGCGGTGAGCTCCTTTTCATACCTGTTGATAATATTTTCTAAAGTTTTTCCTTCACTCCGCACAATCTCTGGAGCCTTTAAATTATTTGCCATATCGTCCTCTTGATTTTCATTGTTGACAACTGAGACTTTCTCTTGTTCCCTTTGCTCTATTTTATTTAAAAGTGTAGTTCCAATTTTATGCTCTATGTCATCTAGCCTGCTTGACAAGTGGTCCTTTTCTTTTTCCAGTTTACCAATCTTTTCCTCGTAGTCTGCAGCCACTTGAAGAACAGAGACTCCGTCGCCAGCGGACAGCTCTTTTGATCTTATTCCCAGCTCCTTTTCGTACTTTATCAAGACATCTTCTACAGTCTTGCCTTCATCTCTTATGTGTAACTGAGCTCTCAGATAATCAGAGCCAGGAATTGACCTAACGTCCTCTTCATCATTATTATTGTCGTCAAATGACTGAAAATTCCCTTCAAGTCTTTTTTCTGGTGACATCGAAGTAAACGGCACTTTGCTTTCTTCACAGTCGACTGTACTTTGCTTTTGTGAATCAACGAACAATGGTATCTGTTTTTCCACCGCTAAATTTAACAGAAATTTGGCAAGCCTTGGTCCAACAAAGGTCTTTAAAGTGTTTATTTCTTTTTCTTTTTCATCAAGATCTTGTTCATAAAACTCTATCCACCTTTCCAAGGGAAGCACCCTTCTATTCTTTGCTTGCAGCTTTTCTGTTCTTTCCTGCTCCTCACTTAGCTTTTCTGTGCTTCCTGATGAAGGTCTCCTGGCGCTTTTGAGGTCTTCGAAAAGACTGCCTCCGATATTTTCTTCAAGTTGATTGTGGATAAGTCTCAAGTCCGTATTTTGTTCCTGTAGGTCTTTGATTTTTCCTTCGTACTCTTTGATAACGTCAGCTACTGAATACTTTTCATCATCTTGACCAGGCACCAGCTTTCTTAATGCCAACAGCTCTTTTTCATAGTTATTTATGATGTCCTCTAAGTTCTTCTCCTCATATTTCATCACATTAATCACGTTTATGTCCATTCTCTCATCGCAGGAGTCTACTTTCTCATCATCTTTTTCTCTTTCCTTCTTAAAACAGTCTAACGCGGCATATAGTTCTGCACCGACGGTGTCTTCGAGATGTTGCAACCTTTCCATTAAAATCCTCTTTTCGTCCTCTGATCTTTCGATGTTATTCTGCAAATTTGCAATTGGGTCAGACACGTTGACGTCATCTTCGTTTTCCCCAGTAGTTATTTGTCCGAGTGCATCTAGTTCTTTTTCGTACCTTTTCAAAATTGTTTCGAGATTCAATCCTTCATCTTCAAGAAGTGAAATAGCTTTTAGCTCATCCGAATGTGTTTTTCTGTCATCTGTGTCGAGTTTGCTACGTGAGGGCCCCTGTGTATCTTCCTTGCATGTACCTGTAAACTTTCTCGCGTCTTTATATTCACCGGTGGGGCTACATTTGTATGACAAATCTTCAGTTGAGGGAGAAAGAGCTTCCAGTTCCTTTGCATCAAATTGACTTGACAAAAAACAGTCCTCCTTCTCTGCCATTACCAATAAAGCCTCGGCCAAATCTTTACCGATACCATCCGTATATACCTTGTTTTCTCTTTTGAGGTTCTCAAGACCTTTTTCGTACATTGCCACAATATCTTCTAAAGGTTCTTGAGAGTTATTTAATATTTCAATGGCCTTCAGGGCTCTCTTCGTCTTTACTTGACCAACTTCCTCCTTCGCGCTGGTTTCGTACCCATCTATTACTTCAAGATTGTTAACCTCTGGTTGTAGGTCTTCAAAGAGTCCATCACCAATCTTTCCTCGAAGTCCACGCAACCCATCCTCGAGAGCATTGTTTGTTTTAGTGAGGTTTTCAAGTTTGTCTTCGTAGTCTTTCACGATACCTGATATGGTATTTCCCTCCTCTCCTTGGTCTGGGACCAGTTTTCGAAGGACTTCTAATTCTTTTTCGTAATTTTTTAGGACGTCTTCCAACGCTCTGTTTTCATTTTTCATAATAATTGGTGCCTCTAAGTTTGAAGACTTTTTGTCGTCGAGAGTATACGTATCAGACTCTTTGTCACTTCTCTTCAAATTATGTAGGTCATACGTAAGGTTAGGTCCGATATTTCTCTCAAGGTGATTCATCATTTCCACCAAATGTTTCTTCTCATTTTCTAATTCCTCACTCCTATCCTCGAGGTCTTTTATCAGCTCTGTAAATGAATCACTTTCCTTTGACCCGGCAGTAGGTGACTTCTGTATTGTTTCCAGCTCCTTCTCCGGCGTTTTGAAGACATTTGTGGTTGTTGGGTCTTCGTGTCGCTCGAGTTCAGTATCGTGTGGTTTGTCTTCATCGGGAGAAACGGGCTTGTCATCCAAACCATCCCCACTTGAATGTTCACTGGATTTAGAAGAATCCGGCTTACGTTTTGTAGGAGCTGTAGCTTGAGTTTCCTCTTCGGCCGTCAGGATCAGGTCCGTGACCTCCTGGTTTCCAATTGCTTCTTTCAAAATCTCATTTTCTTTCTTAAGGTTATCGAATGTACTCATCTTGGCGTCAACAAAGTTCTCTTCATTTGGAGTACCAGGAAAGAGTCCTAATGCTTTCTCATACAATTCAAGAACGTCTTGTAGAGATGAATCGACATCTCTTTTCATGATGAATGGGGCATTTAGGTGACTAGCATTGTTCGCGCTGGGCATTTCATCGTCAGATTGATGATCCTCGTCGGGCAGTGATGCCAAGATATCTTGTACTAAGTCATTACCAACTTTGTTGGCCAGTGTGTTGTAGTTATCCATTGCATCCTTGTTTTTGCTTTTAAGATCATCGATTTTTTCTTCATAGTCTCTTACAATGTCTTCCATACAGGTATTTTCGCCTTGGTTTGAATATAGTTTTCTCAAAGCCTCTAGTTCCTTCTCGTAACTTTTTATCACCCTCTCCAGCGTTTGATCATTCTTTTGCATCATTATTGGTGCATTAATGTCATCTTTCTGACCCACTTCGTCAACTTCCTCTTTCTTTTGAAAATCTTCGTTTTCCACATTTTCCAACTTGTGAAGAAGATTTCTTCCTACCAATTTCGCTAGACCAGATAATCGATCTGCCAGTGCCTCGTTATCTCTCTCCAGATCTGATATCTTATCTTCGTAATTTGATATCAGCTGTGAAATTGATACGTCTCCGTAATCCTCACCTGTGACTAAGCTCGAAAGTTCATCTATCTGTTTTTCGTACTTTCTCAAGATATTCTCCACGGTTTCACCGTCGTCCTTTAGCAAATACGTAGATTTTAAATCATGTTCCGACTCACCACTTTTTATATCAAGGGAATCCGGATCGCGCTTGGTTGGGAGTCCTTGATCTGTCTCGTCCTTTCCCGATGTCTCCTCATCCCTGAAATCCGAATGTGGAAGTAGAGTATGATAAAGGTCGTTGCCAAGTTTGTCTTTCAACAAACCAACTAGGCTCTGAAGTTCGCTGATTTCTTCCTTAATCCTGTCTTCGTAATCTTCTATTACCTCTTCGAGAGTCTTTCCGCTCGTTGCCATAAGCTCAGGTGCCCGTAACTCTTTTTCCAAACAATTTACTCCCTCAGTGCTAAATAGTACAGAGCCTCTGTCTGGCAGTGCGATATCGTTTTCTTTTGCGAGGTCCTTATCTGGTGCTTTTTCTTCTCTCTCTTCGTGTGTTTCTCCACATGTAAGACTTTCTTGAGGTACTTTCGCCCCTTCTTCGTCGTCTAGCGCTCCTCCTTCCACAGTGCTCAGTGTCTCCATGCCCAGTAGAGTATTTGTCAAGGATGGTCCTAATTTAGACCGCAAAGAATCCAGTCCGTCTTCATAAGATGCTATGACATCAAAAAGAGTTTTTCTATTCTCCAAGGCAATATTCGGTGCCCTCAGTACCCTCGCGTTTGAGGTTCTCTCGCCCTGTTGGTTTTGCTGTAATACGATTTCTTTATCATCCATTACGTCTGTCAAACTTCCTTCTGCTGAAAAGACTGCTTTATCTTTTTGAGGTTGTCTATCGTCATGTTGTTCAGTGATCTCAGATTGGTTCTGATGCATTTCACTATCATTTGCTTCAATTTCATCGTTCACAAGATCATCAAGGTGACCTTCTTCTTTATCATCTATCAAGGCATGTACAAGATCTGCTCCAAGCCTTTCCTTCAGGACTTGAAGCATCTCCATGTTTTTCTCCTGAGCGTCAACGATACCCTTCACGTTCTCGTCCATCTCACGTATGTTGTCTGGCTCTGCTATACTAGATTCCACATCCATTCCTGCTTCCTTATTTTCTTTGACCTCTACTGGTTTTTCAAGATTTCTTTCGTACTGAGCTATGACGTCTTCAAGTGTTTTCCCACTAGCTCTCATTATAATCGGTGCATTGAGTGGTTGTTTTATTATTTCTTCTTCCTCGACAGCCAAATCAGATGTGTGTCTATCGGCTGGAGAATCGAAATACGATGACAAAATTTTATCTAGTATTGGTGGTAAGTAATTTGGCTCAATACTTGATCTTCCATCTAGTTGCAGTGGAGTTTCTGCATCTGCCAACATATTTTTATTTCCAGTGAAGAGTTCCTCAGAAATGCTCACATTTGTTTGTATTTTGTGGTCTTTATCTTTTAAAGTCTCGACTTCAGGAGAACCATACCCTGCAGCTTTCCTTTTCATCTCTCTTTTCCTTCTCCTTTTTCCTTTCTTTCTTATTTCGCTTTCCGTTTCTTCAATAGGAGTGATGTCGCTATCTGCATCTTTTTGACTACTATACTCACTCTCTTGAGTAGTCTCTAAGGCCAATGTCTTATTTTCAAGCAGTTCATCCCGTGTGATTTTCCCGTCTTGAACCCCAGGTTGCAGTTCCTGCTCTGTACCTTCGATGCTAATAGGCGTCTTTGGCATTTTGCTCATTTGTAGAAGAGCTCGAGAAAGATCTGTGCCCAGGTTCTCCTTCAGCAAGCTGTTTTCACGCGATAGATTATCTAGCTCTTTTTCATATGCCTTGATCACGTTTTCAAGATCCTCATCATATTTCCTCATGACTGCGGGAGCTGAAATGTTCCAACTGGAATTGTGAGGTTTGTCTTCTATATCAAGGATATCACGTAACAGATCTTTTCCAAGCATGTCTCCTATTAACTCATTTGTTTCCTTCTGCTCGCGCAATATGCTTTCCAAAGTCTCTCCTCGGTTCCGTACCGCGTCAACAACGCCTTCAAATTCTGCCTCTTCACTCGGTGGTCTTTCACTCAACAATGCATCGATTAGTTCCTCACCAATTATCTCTTTAAGCGTTTCCAAATCGGAATTTAGTTCGCCATTAATATCGCTGAGCTGTTTATTTTCTTCGCTCATATCATTGAGTATGTCACTAATTGTTACCCCATTAGCTTCTACTTCGTCAATCACTGCTTGATGTTGATTCTTGCCCTCCGATTCATTTTCTTCAGTATCAAGTGTTACGAGAGAACTGACTAGATTCTCGCCAATTTTGGAACTCAACAAATCGATCAGATTTTTTAAATTCTCGCTTTGTCTTTGAGCAGCAAGTTTTAAATCCTGCCGTTCTTTTATCAGTTCTATTAACGTCTTCTCACCTCTTGCCATATCTGCCAGAATACCGTGAATGTGAAAACGTGGCATGGAGTCCCCATTTTTTCTTACTTTTTCAGCTAACATACCCACCACACCTGATTCGCGTATTATGTCAGAGATTTGCTCTTTTCGTGCCTCAAGTTCCCTCTTTTGCTGTTTTAAATCGTCCATGACCTCGTTCATTTCCTCGTCTTCGAATCCTATGTGCAACTTTGTCTTCTCTTTTTGTACATCATCCAACCTAAGTTTTAGTTTGTTCTTTTTCTCGCGAAGTTCCTCAATACTGGCGGGGTATTCTTGCCCATTTGAATCGCTATCGTAGTTATCGTCGAGTGCTCTATCGATTTCAGCCAAATAATCCCTTAAACTCTCTTTTTCCACTAGCGACTTTTCAAGGTCAAGAATGTCCATGTGGATGGAATCTTTGCTTTCGTGGACTTCTTGCTTGAGAAGATTTAATTCTTCCTCTACTTCTTGAAGCTCCTGGTTGCCTTGTTCGATCGCATTCTCTAACACTTCCAACTCTTGGTTTAGTGCCAGCTGTTCTTCGTCCGAGAGCCTCTCTTGTCCACTAATGTTAACTTGCATCTCCTCTAATGCTGCTTCTACTTCTGCCCTTGCAGTTGTAATCGTTTCCTTCAATAGTTGCATTTTTACATCCAGTTCCCTTCTTTCGCAATTCAAAATCTTCAATTGTTCTTCTTTGGCGTCTTTTTCCGCTTCTATCTTTCGTATTTTTCTTTCTCTACGATCAATCATATCATTAAGCTTTTTAAGATCACTTCCAAGCTTTATTTTTCTTTGATAGCTGTCTTTGTTTGGTCCCGAGCCAGAACACTGTTCCTCAGAGGAAAGTTCTTTTTGCTTCAAAAGATCTTCAAAAAGTTGTGCTAGTTGAAGGTCTTCTTGTAGCTTAGCCTTTGTGGCAATCAGAGTTGTAACATTTTCAAGGACAGATTTTTGGGGCTCATCTGAAGGGTCACAATCTTGCAACATGATTTCAAGGCGATTGTCTATTTGAGAAAGGTTCTCTTCCAGTTCTCTGCGCTTTTCTTCAGTTTCCTCATTCAGTTCTTTGTTAGCTATGCCCATCTCTTCCTCACATTTTTCATCAGCAATAGGCAAAGGTAGCTCTGTTTCACTTCTTTCATTCTTCTCTTTCTGGATCTCTTGAATGGATTTTTCTATCAGTGCGTCATCACTGGTCGTACGCCGCGTGGTGTCACTATCTCGGTATTTTGCTAGTTCTTTGGCATCTGCTTGTCTTTCATTCTGCTTTCTCATTTTAGAAGGTAACTTAATTTTATCCTCTTTAGCATCGTGCTCATCCATCTCCTTAAGTCTGAAATCTATAGGAAACTTTTCTTCAATTGCATTTTTAAGAGCACGCTCAATCTCAATGAGATCTTGCCCCTTTCGTTTCGCTTCTGTTAGTTTTTCAGCTTCTCTTTTGACAAGGTTTTCCATCAATTGTTGTTTATGGCACAGTTCCTTTCTCTCCTTAGTGATTGTTGGTGTTGTCTCTGGATTAAGAATCAAACATGCTTCGTTGACGAATGTTTTAATTTCGTCTGAAACACTCTTGTTATCGTTTTTGTCGGGATCATCAGCAATGCTTTCTTGTAACCTCTCTACAACGTCCGTAGCACGTTCTGTGTCACTTTTAAACTCTCTCGTAATTTCGGCTTTCTGTTCAAGAAGAGCAACCAACATCTCAGAGGCCCGTGCCATTTCATTATCTATTGAATCTTGAAATTTATTTATGTCGTCTTCAAGTTTTACCTTTCGCTCAACAAGCTCTTCAATAAATTCAGATTGTGGTCCTCTCAGAGCACCTGTGTTTAGACTCTGCAATATCTTCTCGTTGGTATCCTTTAGCTCTAGAAATAGATTTTCTTTACTCGCTATAAGCCCCTTGATGTTGGAGTCTGAGTCTCCATATATTTTTCCATTGTTCTTGAACTGCATTGCATCAATGAAATTGTGCTGTTCGTACGAAATATCACTATCTAGAGCATGGATCTTTTCCAACAGACGTTCTCTTTGCGAGAAGAGTAACTCTAGCTGATCAACATCAGGGTTTTGCTCGTCCACACCACTTGAGTCACCCTTAAGTAATTGGTCCAGCCCAGCTTTCCCTCTTAATAGCTTTTGTTTTTCCTCCAGAGCCTGGATGAGTTGTATTGGATCGCTGTAGCCCACCTCTCTCAGTTTGCTTTCTTCTTCATTGATTTTTTCTTTCAGGCATTGCAACTCCTTTTCAGCTGCGACCTTATATCCTTGAGTCATGCCCACTTTCTCAGCTGAGGTGATATCATCAGTAAGTTCACGTTTAAGCTCATATGGTAGGTCAATTTTACTCATTCCAAGGTCCAGTTCTTCAGTTCTCCTCTCGATTTCTGCTTCCTTTTCTCTAATACCTTCTGCTTCATCGAAAAGTCGTTGTTTATCTACAAAGAGGGGCTCAGAGTCTATATCTACAGGGTCGTCGACATGATCCGTCGGATCGTTAGGTACTTTTTTGCTTTCGTTATCTGGTAGCGTACCCATTAAATCAAGAGAGCTCCTGATTCGTGCCAGTTTTCGTTTGAAGGGCCTTAATCTGTTGATTCTCTTTTCTAGCATTCTGCCGCATCTCTCAATCTCATTTTCTGTCCTCTTTATTTCCTTTTCAAGCCTTTCTCTCTTATCTTCTGCGTCTGCATTACTTTTAACAACCGACATTATTTCAGTCGGAAACTCATTATTACTCTGTCTTTTAGGATACCCATCGTTCTTGGTTTTGGGAATTCCTTCTTCTAAAGCTGCGAGCTGAAGTTTCAAATTAATGAAAGATTTCTGATAGTCTTCCTTTTCCTCACCCGACGCCTTCTTTGCTGCCTCTAGCGCCTTGCTCTTATATTTGTGTTGTTGTGCTTTTTCATTGAGATCATCTTTTAAAACATCCATCTTGCACATGAGCCCAGAGATCGTTTTGTCCTCCTTGCTTCCTAACTCCACCATTGCTTCTTTCTGTTCGTTTAACAGATTACTGATCTCATCAAGTTTTGTACAGACGTCCTCTTTTTCTTTCAGGAGATGCTCAGTCAATTTTTTATCGTCATTCCTTCTCAAACATTTTTCAATTTCCCCCAGTGAACGCAGCACTTCAATTTCCTCGTTTTCCAGTCGCTTATTAAGATCTGCAAGCCAATCGCTTCGTGTTGCAGCAAGTTCTCTTATCTGAGCGTCGACTTGCTTCAATTCATCTGTAAGTTGTTCGCTCTCCGTGTACAGATCATTTATACTTTCTAATAGATCTTTACCTTCTACTTTCTCGTTCTTAAGTTCTGGAATTTCTTCGACAAATTCTTTTCCCACTAATTCACAAAGTAAATTGAATTTATCCTGTAGCATTTTGTTATTAGTATTCAGCTGCCTTATGAGATCTTGGTCATCAACTGGAGATTTGCTCTGTGGTAATTCGGACTCATCGTCTTCGGTGATGACTGCCAAACGGGATTCTGCTCCGCAGGAATCAGTAAGATTGTCATCTCCCGGAAAATCAAATGTGTTTTCGTTACTGGGTTTCTGCGAGTTTTTGTCTTCCTTATTTCTTTCTAAGTTCTCACCTTCTTCAAGTGACCCACAAGAGGGCTGAGTTGTTGGGTTTGATTCTTCGGGCCTAAGTAGTTTTGGATCAGATACTAGCACTCGTATGGACGCGGTAGAGTTATCGGGACTTTCATCTAAAGAAATTCCTTCCTCAGCTTCTTTACTTTCCATTTCACGGCCAGTAGTAACCGAGTCGTTTTCTGCGATAGTTTGGCATGCTGCATCTCTCCTGTAAATATAAGGTTTCTCCTCCCCTGTCAGAACTTTAGTATCGGTTCCATCTTCTTCAGAACTGCCTCTTCTTTCTTTATAGTTTTCTCCCTCTGTTGTTCCCTCATCTCTCATTTCACTGGGATAATCTTTTTCATGCCGGTCTCTTTTTGAATCCCCATCCATTAGAGACGACCCATTTTCATTTTCTGTCTGATCATCTCCCGCATTTTCTTCTTTATTATCATTGTAATGCTCTGAAATCGGGATACTGTCTTCATCGAAAGCTTGTGCTTTGGATTGTTGGTCATCTTTATCTTGGTTTTTTATTTCGCGGTACGTTTCCCAGCCATGGCCATCAAGTCTCTCCTCGTTCTTTTGAAGAGATTTATTGTTTCCTAATTCTTCTTCCCCACCCACCGAGTTTTCTGTTTTGAGTTTTTACTCTTTTTCTTGATCTTCATTTTCATCTTTATTCCCTCGGAACGCCTCCTCTTTTTTTGTTCCCTCATTGCGTTGAGGCTTTCCTATAGACCCGTCATCCGGACGTTTAGCTGGTAAACCTGAACCAGTGTAGACTTCATCTATTCCTCCTGCCAAAGTATCTTCTTTTCCTTGTTCTCCGACAATTTTCTTATCATTGAGATTATTCCCCAGCCCTGGATCGAGGCCAATTCGGTCACTGGCGTTGTTCGAAGTCTTTCCATCCTCAAGAAAGATTGGTTTAGGCTGAGGTCCAATTCCCTCGCCAGAGTCGTCCTTTTGGATATCGTTGTTTTGAAGATGATCCTCACGCTTGTTCTCGTCACCCTGATTAATCTTCTCCTGAGGAATCCCCGTGGCTAGTTTTTCGTCTTCAAAGCCATTGACCAGCTGTTTTTCTCTTTCGTCAGGTTTTTCACCCGGAGTGTTTCTCTTGTCATCGAGCTTTCTTTTGGTGTCTTCTTGTTCCTCCTCTTTCAAATCTCTCTGGGAGAGCTCTGATGTCTCATTATCGCCCCTACTGGTTAAAGAGCCATCGACTCTCTTCTCAGTTTCTAAGGAGCGCTCACCTTCAGTACCTTGCTCAGACAAATTATCATGATCAGCACTTGGTATGTCATTTATATCAAATGTCTGGGTGTCAATGTTCCGTTTGGTTACTAGGATTTGTTTAGTAGGATTACCAAACTGCGTCTTGTCGACTAATTGTTTGATGCCATTCAGCATCTCATTCTCTAGATCGTTTCGTTTATTGCGTAGCGAGTCTTTAGCTTTAGCTAATTTTCTCATGACTTTCTTTAAACTGTCTCTGTATTCTCCATAGTACACTCTGCTCAGATTGAATCTCTCGAGATTAAAGGCAAAATATAACTCAGATTTCTTTATATTTAATGCATCATCCTCCGTTGACTCAGGACCAGAATATGCTCCTTCGTCGCTTTCACCGATTGGAGTTGTCGGACCAGAATCCTCGGATTCTAAATCTGAGCTCGCACCAGAAGTGGATTCAGAATCGTAAAGAGAATCTTCGTCGTTGAGAACCAGTTCGATAAGGTTCTCCAGGGCAGCCCTTAATTCTTCTCTGTTGCAAATCTCATCATCGGATACCAAAAGTCGTTTACAGTTTCTGACGTTCGCTTTTCCTATGGGTGATGTTACCACCAAACGCGGGGGGTCTTCACTAAGAAATCTTTGTCGGTTGTTTTGCTTTTCTTCTCCTTCTGAGATGGATTGAGTGCTGGATAACACTTCTTTCAATAAATCAATGGCGTTATTGAGATTGGCAACGGCTGTTTCATGTTCTTTTTGCCTTTTGTTCTGTAAATCAGCTAGTTCTTTCTTCAGTGGAATTGTAAGGTCCAGGTTTTCTTTCTCTCTCTCAAGTCGATCTTGGTCTTTCCGTCGTTTTTTAGCTTTATTCCTCTCAGGAGCGCTTCTTTTCTGCGCATCAAGGAGTTTCCTCAGTGTATCATTTTTGTCCTGCAACAATCTTAGCTCCATCTCACTCTTTTCCGACAGTAAAGTTTGTAAGTCTGCAATGTCTTTTTCGTATTTCAGGATAATTTCCATTTTGTCAAGATCATGATCCTTTTTCATTTTGTCTGTCTTGCAGTTAAGAGCACTCTCTAGTTCATCCTTCATTTCCAAGTAGTAAAGTCTGCCTAAGCAGAATCGTTCTAGATTGAAAGCTTCCTCCAAATTAGACTTCTGCCTCAGAAGATTTTCAATAATTTCTCCTTCAGTGCTCATCACAAATTCCTTATGTTGTGTTTGTAGTTTTTCCATTAGTTCCGACTTTTCACTTTTGAAATGCCTTTCCAGTTCTTCGATTGATCGTTTCATTTCTTTTTTCTCTTGCCTCACCTCTTCCGCAGTGTTTGAGGAAGAGTGTGTACTGTTCTCACTATTGGGTCTTTTCATGCTCCCATAACCGCCTTTGTCTTGCCTGAACTGAAGGTCATCTGTTGTTCTTCCTTTGTCTTCGGTGACCTTAAACGTTACACAATCCAAGGTTCTAGCTCTATTTTGGTCGTTTTCTTGAAGATATTTCAGTGCTAGCTGTGTCTCTTGAACTCTTTTTGTCTTCTCATCTGCCAGCTCCTTCAGTAGCTCGTTGAGTTCTTCCTGGTGTCTTTCTATTAGATGTAGTTTTTCAACTTCATGTGATAAGTGTGCATTATTCAACACTGCTTTGATCTTTTCTTTAACCTGGTCATTACTAGCATTGTCATTTTCTCCACCTGTTCCTTCATCGGTCAGATGCTCATCCAGAGCTAGAAGCCGATCGAAGGGGGAAACTACTGTCTGTGACCTGATGTGGGTCACATCATCGCATTCAACTTTGTCATCGCAAAGCTTGTCCAGCTCCAAGATGGCCTGATTGATTGCTTCCTTTAGTCGCTTATTGGATGTGCCGAGATGTTCCAAGGTATCCTCGTTTTCCTTATCAGTTAGACATTCTTTCAATCTTTCTTGAATTTTCCGAATACCTTTGCTTACATCTTTTTGTTGGACCCGCTGCGGTCGCGTCTCCTCTTTCCTTTCTGTCTTTTCAAAAAACGCTCCATCATTTTCCTTCCCCACTAATTGGCCTTCTTCTTCTTCTTGATTTTCTCCTACTGGGATTTTGTTTTCTACTGTTTTAGGCTCATTGCTCCCCATTGCGTAGCTGCATGCGATATCACCTGCGTCGTCCTCAACGAAGTCCTTTTCCAGAACGTTCTCACTGGTGGCAATGATAAAGTGTTCTGGTGTTTTTTGGATTTCTTCCAACCTTCCCTTAAGAATTTCGATTTCCCTTTGCAAATTTACCTTTTCATTTTCACTGTTTTTCCTCAGTTCATCTTTTTCCTTGGCAAACTCTTCCATTTTTGCAACAAGTTCCTGATGATGTAATGCTTTAGTTTCCTTCATGTTTTTCTCCAATACTTGCAGATCATTTTGCATATTTTGTTCCAGGTTTTGACATTGATTATTTTCCTTGTAAAATTTTTCCTCCATTCTATTCTTCTCGCTAGCAAACTCCTCCATCTCACCGGCCAAATCTTCCAGTTTCTGCTTGGATACTTCCAGTTCTTTTCTCTGTTCCTCTACAATTTTCTTGAGTCCATCAAGTTCCCCCTCGTAGATGTTTCGCATGTCGTCTTCCTTCTGTTGAATTTCCAATTCCTTCTCATTTATCATCTCTTCATATCGTTGTTCTAAGTCATTTCGTTCAAATTCAAAATTCTTTAACAAATTGAACTGCTCTTTTCTGAATTCTGCCTCCAAACTCTCTTTCTCATTTTCAAACTGCTTTTTAAGGTTCTCGATTTCTTTGCGTTGTTTGTTTTCTAATTCTTTGATAGGTTGCTGGCCCCTCTTAATTGCCTCTATCCTCTGCTTGTGTTGTCCATCCATCTCAGTTAGCGCTTCATCGTGGTCTTGTTTCAGTTTGGCAATTTCGTCGATGAGAGCGACTTCCACGTCCTCTTTGGTCGGACGATCTAGCTGAGTAAGCAAAGATAGTTCACGACTATAAACCTGAGCTAAACTAAACCTTTCGATTTGCAATGCATTCAGCAATTCTCTTTTCTCTCTCTCTAGCTCATCAATAGCTTCTTCTTTTTCAAGAAGCTTCTCTTTACAGCCGATTTCTAAACTCTCCTGTAGCTCTTTTATCTCGCGCTCAAATTGTTGAATCATTCTTGTCTTTTCAAGCTCAAATTTCTCGGAAAGCAACCTTTCAGTAACCTCTAGCTTAAACTGTAATTCCTTTCGGTGATCTTCTTGGATTCTTTGCCTCTCCTCCTGAAAGTAACTATTCGTTCGTTCGGTCTGATTCGTAAAAACTTGCACAAGTTCTGCCTTTTCTCGGTCAGATTTCCTCTCTAGTTCTAATTTTTCACCATCGAATTCTTCCTTGGCTCGTTTCAACTCAGTTTCATGTTCTGTTCGTTTAATGTAAACATCGCAGTCTGGCGAGGTCCGAGGTAAGCTGTCTCCGTTCTTCTGCATACGCAACAAATCTCTTCGCAGCATTTTTATTTCTTCGTTTTTATCTGCGATGACATCTTCGAATTCGCGTCTCATTTTTGATTTCTCTTCCTTGAACTTTTTATCAAGTTTCCTTTCTTTTAAATGATACTCGTTGGCGTGTTTGGCTTTCAAACTTTCCTGCTCACATTCAAATTCGTTTATCTTTTCCACCTGCTGTGAATGAAATCCTTGCAACAGGTCTTTCTTTTCCAATTCAAACTCATTTCGCATGCTTTCTTTTTCCTGCTCAAACTTTTCAATAAGCTGATTCACTTCTTCTTGATGCATCATTTCGATAAATTCTTTTTCCTTGAGAAAACCGCAAACGATGTCATTTTTCTCCGAGGCATATTTCTTGGCAAGAGCGTCGGCAGTCTCATTTGGCGCTTCGAACTCTTCCATCTTTTGGCAAGCAAATAATTTTTCAAGACGATTTTAGATCATCGCGTAACATTGTTTTCCATAAGGTCTCTCCTCTAACTCGTCATTTGTTGGTGGGAAGACATGTCAGGTGATAAAACAGCGGCCGACTAAGCAAAAGTCTGTTAAACTTTAGTTTTTTGTAGTAACGCGCAAACGGCATATAAATGCGATGCGTATTTCGTTTAATAATTGATTACCCCACAAGCACAGCAGGTAAATAAAACTCGCAAAATGTTTTCTAAGTCTAAGGCCCATTTTAACCGCTCTGGTATTGTTGACTTGATGTTTTTCTCAGGACTATGGTACACTTAGTTTCTGAAATTGGTAAACACCTTTTGAAGTGTTTATCTTAATAATTGGAACAGAGAAAGAAGGTTTAACTTGAATTAGAGAATTCTTAGCGAAAGCTCCTGAACAGTCCTACTTTAAAATCGAACTTTAATATTTTCAAGAATGGATGAGGAGATAAATAGCTTCACCGCAAGGAAACTACAAATTTTTTTCGCGAAACTTATCTCGAAACGTTTCAAAAAGTAGGCTTATGATCAATACATGCTACAGGCGAGTGCTTACCTCAACGGTCGAATTCTTACATGAAGAGGCTCCTGTTATAACCCCGATCCACGAGCGTAAATGAGAATTCGAAGTAGTTTTGCTTCTCGATTACGTTTCAAACAACTAAATGTTTTTCCTTGAAAAGGAATCGATATCCGGGATCTTTTCCCCACGTGCATTGTGATTTTGCATATCAAGTCTGCTCATAACAAGATCTTATTCAAACATAAACTGAATATTTAGCATTGAATCACTACCAAAATGCGAGCAGTTTTTAAGGGCAATTAGCAGATCCTCTCCCTTGTATAGTGAGTTTCTTAAGCTGCATATCGTTTTTGAAATACTTGGGGATAATTTTTCCACATTTGTTAGCTAGAAGTCTCCATTGCTCTTCACCCTGATATTTTTCCTGTGTGTTTTCCTCTGTGACCATGATCGGTTAGGGACATTATATCTGTTTTGTGAAAGGTCTTCCAGATTCCTAATTTGCTGAGATGTAACGCATACTCCGTCCTTCTTCCAGTTGACTTGGTGCTCTACGCAAATATCATAAAAGAATATAGTAAAAATCTTACAAAAAAGGCTAGTTCTTATAGTGTATAGCATCGCTATTGACAAACAATTTTGTAACAAATTAAAACTGTTTAATTTCTGTATATTGTCTAAGGGAAGTGTATTCCATATTCTATCACAATTCAGAGGCGGTGGGGCGTTTGAAACGTTGCGGGTATCTTTCACACACCCATGCACATACCCCTACTGAAATTTTTTATAAATTGCCATTCTCTTTGTTTGTTGGTACAACCAAGCTTTGCAATCTTTTCATTTTTGTGTGTGACCATAATCGATTTGTGACTTACTTTAATTTTTTTTCCGGCAGAGTCTAGAATCTTTTAGCTTAAACCCTTAGTCTAATTTCTTAGACCTGCTGAAAAATTAGCTTCGCTAACACGTGCTAAAGCAGTTCAAAAAAGCGGGACGCTGATAAAAGGATTTGTGAAAAGATCACGGTATTTAATATTTTTCCAATTTTCATGCCGCGCTGGTGATATTTTCGGCACCAAACCAGGGGGGCCGTGCCCCCAAAAATATTTTGTCTAGGGGGGCTAGGCCCCCCTTTTCCCCTGTTCCACCTCCTTTGAATTGTATAATTGTCAAGAGAGAAAGATCTAATCTAACACTTTGACAATTTAGGTGAATATTGTCTTGTGGCAGCTATTCATTAAGTGTTTCAAGATACCCGACCTTCAGCTGACGTTTTAATCGGCACATGTACCTGAATGAGACCTGTTTGTTTACATATGGATTGGATTGGCCAGTCTTGCTCGCTTGACATAACCCGCCTGGATCCTGCGAAAGAAAGCCATTGATTACATGGAGCGGACTAATAGAGTTCGTAGCTTTTGGATAGTGTCGGGAGAAGACAGTCAAAACAAAGAAAATACAAATGACTCTCGTGGGTTTATTGTGCAACAAACACAGTTGGCTTTCTTTTCCCGACTCTCGAAACAAACAATTCATTCATGATTAAAGCGAAATCTTTTTGCAATATAATAATCCTTTATTGACCAAGACTTTTCGGTCAAGATGGCTGGATATTTAGCCTTGTTCTTTTTTTGCGTTTTGATGAGCCGAGACGGAGTCAGTATACAGCCATCTTCATTGTACCCTTGGTCAATTACCCATGCTCGGAAGCGGAAATCAAACAAACACGTTTATTTGTAACGCGGTAATCGGTAAACACCAACGACCTTCAAACAAATTGCCACTCAAAAACTCAAAAATTTCGTCCCCTCCAAAAAAACTTGCACACGTCAAAAAAAGTCCGCGTGATTTGCTAACGACATGTAAACTTACGTAATCGTAATCTCACGTACACGAGGATGATAGTAATCAACCAAATACTCAATAAGCTGTAACTTTTTTTTAGATTTCAACTTACGTTACAAATGTTTCCTTTCTTGAAGAAAATTTTGCGACAATGGTATATGAATAGTAATTGAATGTTCACAGTTTTGACGCAAGCATTGTTTGGATGCAGTCAAGGATGTATGTAATATGCGTTAGGCAAAGTACAATTCTGAGAATGAGCTGTGTTAGATATTAAACATGCTCAATTCTAATCGTGATCAGTTTTCATTGGCAATTCTCAAATAACTGTTACTTTTGTTATTTTTTTTGCAAATGTCGAATGGGCATAGTTGTAGTTTGATATTCGAATATATAAATGCAGGGCTCGGCCATCAAAGCCGACTGGGCCTCCTTGCGTAAACAAAGATTATTTCATGTAACAAATTAAAGTAATTTTTTTCATTGTTAAAAGAAACTCAGACATCTGAAACTTGTTCAAAATTCATTTTATAACAACAGGCTTCATGTTGTTGCCAAAATATGCTTACTGCAGAACTTTTTATGTTCCTGATTGCTTTCTACTTCCTGACTTGTTAGGGGATCATCCTTCTGTCTACAGCTGTAACAGGACTTATTGTGGCATTAACATTTTGGAGCCGATTATTTCTTGGATCTGATAAATTGTAGTTTGGATCTGAGTAAGGCTGGAATATGATCCAGGCTGGGAGGTAACTCAAGGGTAGATGTAGCCCCATTATGGACATGACTCTGGATACAAATCAGGCTCGGCTCAGATCTGACCCATTCTTGGGTGTGACTCAGGTAAGGGTATAACATCAGATGAGATCTTACTCGTACAGATCTGAGTCAGGTTCAGATCTGACTCAGAGTGGGAAGTGACTCATTCTGAAAGGGGGGGTAAGGTTTCTTGTTTGATCTGATGCACGAGTTTTATGGAGTCATTTAATCAAGCTGTTTTGAATCACTGCTAAAAATTACATTACTGCACATTTACTCAGTAAGGCTAATTAATGAATGTCTGTGTATAACGAGGTAGAATTAATAGCAACAAGTGTTTGACCATAGTTGTAAAATAAAGCAAGCAAATGTTACTCCGTCATTTGTGCTAGTTTGTAAGAACATTGAGAACAGGAAGGTTAGTCGCTCTGAGGATTTGATAATTCACCTGTCCCTAATTTCACCAACTACATGGCCTCGTATTAACAAAGATTTAGTAATACATAGACAGGTAAAAACGAACGATGTAATATCCGGACGTTTCGGCGACTTCATGACGCCATTATCAAGGGTACGAATGAAAATAAAATTAACAAATGCGAGTTTAAGAGTTACAATTAATTTGCATAGGGGAGGTAGCTACACAAATACTTTAGCACGGATAGAATCCGTTTGCACGTTCAAACTCGGTGTTAATTGTTTGATGTAAAGCATCTCGTTTACAAGACAATCGAATTTGTTCATGTACTTCTTGAGAACTTTGAAACAGCTAAGAAGGTCCCCAGGGACAGCACCTGCGT